ACACCCATGTATTATTCTTTTCAAGTGAACTCATCTGATCATCCATACTCCCACATAGTTAGTCAACAAGTATTGTAATGAATGTGAATATCTATTATATGTTCTAATAGTCGTGGATGATCTCCTTAACACCTACTTAGGTGCAAATTTTTTTAGCAGTAATCTTACGAGTTTCTTTAGATTCTGCAGCGATATTACTTGGTAAATTTTTCTACAACTCATCTTAACTCCCACTTGCTTCGTAGTCTTTAGGCTTCTTTTTTTCTTGTATATGACATTTCCATCCAAAGTTATGTCACAATGTTTCTGAATTTTTCTGTTCGTGTCATCCTAAAATTTATACCCGAATAGGTCAGAACAATAGCTTATGAAGTAGTATTTCACAACCTTAACATCAAGTTTGTCTTTTTTCTCTAGATCAACATTTCCATACATAGTGTAACTAAAAGTTCTCAAGTGAGAGTACTGTAATTGATTTTGTGTCCATAACTCTTCTCGCTATTCGAACCCCAAGGGTATTAACGACCCTCTATTGATCAAGTAGGTTGTTATATTCACAACATCAACCCATAATTCTTTGGTAATCAAGAATACATTCTTCTACTCCTTGCTCGCTCATTCAATGTTCTTTTCATCCTTTCAGCAACACCATTTTATCTTGTCCTACTAGAAACTGTCATCATTAATTTAATTCCCTCATATACAAAAAATGCTTTAAATTCTAATTTGTTGTACTCTTCTCCACCGTCTGACATCAAACATTTGATCTTCCAATCGTATGATTCTCAACTTTTTCTTTCCACTTCTTGAAGGTGGCAAACGCATCTGATTTTTGTTTCCGGAAATAAACCAATATCTTCTTGCTAAAATCATCAATGAAGGTGACATAAAACATGGATTCACCAAGTGATGGAACTCGAGATGGTTTCCAAACATCTATATGGACCAATTCCAACCGTACTTCCTTCAGTTCTTTAGAAGTATTTGTGAAGCTAACTTGTTTCTGCTTGCCCATAACACAACTCTCACAAAGACCCATATCAACAAATTTTAGGCCTTCTAAAACTCCTTTAGCCACCATCTTAATTCACTTAATGCACATATTTTCAAGTCAATTGTGTCATAGACTTAAAGGAGAAACTCTCAACAATTGCAGCCATGTTTATACACCCTACAATGGTGTATAGTGTTCTATAGTTTGTATGATGTGCTACCACCATAGCACCCTTCATAAACTTACCCGGACTCTTTTCAAACTCTACTACATAACCTATGTTGTCCACTGACCAATGGAGATCAGGTTCTTCTTGAGACCTGGGATATACTAACATCCTTCAATGTCCACTGATCTTTTGTTGAAGTTTGTACACGAACATCTCTCTTTCCTTCAATCTCCAAGGCTTTGTTGTCAACGAGATACACCTTCTCAAAATTTTCAAATTTGAAACTTCAAAACAGTTCTTTGTTTGGAGATGAATGAAAAGATGTACCTAAATAAAAAATTCAGGTTTCAATCGAGTTGAATTAGAGTCTCCTCTATATCTTTTCCTGAACTTATAAATATTGTCATCTCTAGATTTGTGATTCTGCTTCTTCTTCAGTTTCATACAATATGTTTGAAAGTGCCTCTTATCGCTACAATTTCAACACATTACGTTTGGGTGTGTTCGAATATTTTCCTCGGTTCTTTGATTTTTATCGACCATGTATATTTGGGTCCTTCGATTTACTTCTTCTCCTCTGATAAACAATGAAAGCGCTTTCCAATGAGTCTCAGATTTCTCATTTGTAAATACTTTCGTTGAAAACTACATCTCGAATTCATCAAACTTTAATTTCTCAGATACTCGTGAACTTCTTATCACAATAACAAAAATATCCTACTATTAAGGTAAATATGACATCAAATTCAATATTTTAATTTTATCTTCGAAGTTAATTTCCATAGAGCAAAATGACTTACAATCATATTGAAGTCATTTATATGATTTGTAATAGATCCATCTTCAAATATTTGTAAATTGAACAATCTACGCATGAAATATACCTTATTCATAGCTGAGGATTTTTCATACATATTTGACATATGCTGTTGTCTTCTTCTTGAAAATATTGAACGTCACGTTTTTGGATAGCGTCAACGTCATCAACATCAGAGCTTTCCAATCCTTGAGCTTCTACAACTTTATGGTCATGGTATTTAACTTCACCCCACGTAAGGATTCACGATGATCTTTATGATACAAATACATCTTCCAAGACTGAAATTGAATCCATAAAACTTCTTTATTTCAATCTTTCAACTTTCAATCTTCATAGATTGGGGTGAGTATCTCTTAGCTTTGATACCAATTGTTTTGATTGCATGACAACTCACACACTCAATCATTGTACTAATAAAAGGTAAACTATAACCCCTTGTTCCTTTTTTTATCCTTTTTCCTTCTCTCTTTTTCTCCAAATATGATTAGTTTAAAATCTCTTCAAACCCCCAAATGATCATTTTGCCCCTTGGTTGACTTTGACCAACATTTTTTTTTATATTTTTTATATTTATCCTAGGTTTTCGTGTCATTATAAGCATTTTTTTTTTTTGTCTACCACAACCTCAAATTCGACCTCTAAGACTCTCAATAAAAGTTTAGAAGTCTATCTTAAAAGGAAGAATAGAGAAAATTAATTCTCATTGGAGCTCGAGCATTACATATTATCCCCTACTTAAAAACATTTATCCTTGAAAGTTGTTTATGTTGAATTCCGGTGGTAGGTCAACCTTAGGTCTACTTATCTCACTTGCATTGTGATATCATTCTTACCCTTGCTCCACTAGTTCATAACCTTAGTTATTTGCTTAACTCACGTCCTTCCATCTTCATAGAGGTCGTAATAATCCCTATCATCCTCCGGAACCCCTCGAGTTCTTTGACCACTAGAGTGCACCAAGGGCTACTCTACCCTTTGTACATAAGGCACTCTTTGCAAAAGAGTGAGTAATTGAATGGTTGATGAGAAGATTGTATTATGAAGAGAAAAAAGGCTATATATAGAGAGAGAATACAAAAAAATATTTCAAAAATCTACCTAAAAATCGGTAGAAAATCTGGTAACAAACCCGTAGAAAAATCAAAACTAAATCAACTTCTAACTTAACATTTAATCAGATATTAACTGATATCAATCAAAACAAACACGTGATCTTTAACACTCCTCTTGTTTAGATGCTCTGAACTCCAAACATTTTCTTGAACACCCATCTTACTCCAATTATCTTTCTGTTTAGAGGTCGATCAACCAACTCCCTGATTGTTTTTTTTCTCGATCACCAAAAGCTCCTCCTCTGACAGGTGCATCATCAACCAAAGCATCTTATCGTTCATCTTCAGACTCTTCTTGTCGTTCATCTTCAGACTCTTCTTGTCGTTCATCTTCAATTTCTTCTAACATGCTACCAAAGATTAAATTGTTTGGTGCATTAGAAATTTATTTCACCTTAGTCAATTCTTACTAATTCCATTGCTCATTTCCAGCAAAATGAACACCTCAGCTCACAATAACACGACTAGTGTGTGGTTGAAAAACTCTGTAAGCTTTGGATATAGGGCTATACCCAACAAAGATGTCAGCTTCTGCCTTTTTGCCAAGCTTATCACGCTTGGCATGTGGAATGTAAGTGAAGCAAAGACACTCAAATACTCTAAGGAACATTAAAGAAGGTTTGTAACCATACAAAACTTCAAATGGTGTCAGGTCCTTCACAGCTTTTGTTGAAATTCGATTTTGCAAGCACAAAATAGTGTTTGCTGCTTTTCCCCAAAAACGTTATGGAAGATCCTTCTCATGAAGCATGCATCTCGTCCTCTCCATTATAAATCTTTCCTCCTTTCACTGACGTTATTCTTGTCAAAGAAAAACTCACCAATTTGTGAAATAAATCTCACACAAACATAGAAGGAGACTAAAAACACTCTGTTTATCTAAAAAAAAACCTTCTTCTATTACTTCTCTGTTTCTTTTTTTTTTTTTTTCCCTCTGCTTTTCACAATACAAAGTACAACATATTTATAAGCTCTCCTAAAACTAAATATAACCATCCCAATGCCACTATTTCCTTACCCATGAAATCCAACTATTTCCTAAAATAAATCTTGGCCTTTCATTTTCAGCATTTTCGCCTTTTCATTTACGACTGACTTTTGAATTAAAAACCCACTAAAATTCCAGCATCTTCACAGAATTTGTTAAAAGTTTCTGAAGTGTACTCCATGCCATTATCTGATCTTATAGTCTGAATCAAACGTGCACTTTCATTCTGAACTCTGGCTTTGAATTTCCAAAATATACCCACAACTTCTGACTTTTGCTTCAGCAAGAAGATCCAACACATTCTTGTTAGATCATCAATAAAAACAATGTAATAAAGATTGTCATTTGATGATGGTGTTGCTGAGGACCACAAAATTTAGTATGAACCAGCTGCAGCTTTTTCGAGGCTCTTCATGCCTCTTTAGGAAAGGGTTGCCTATGTTTCTTCCCAAATTTACAAGCACAGCAAAGAGGCATGTCATCATCAATGTCAACGAGTCCTTCTATCAACTTCTTTGACTGCATCTGAAGCAAACCTCGATGATGAAAGTGCCTAAGTCTTTTGTGCCAAATCTCAGTGACACTAGCTCTGGATATAAAGGCCATCTACTCTTTCTCCATCGGATTTAGAGCAAAATTTTTTCCTTTCATTTTGACATTGAACTAGTCTTTGCCACTAGCATCTCTGATCAAGCATTGATTATTCTCAAACAACACTTGATAGTCTTTATCATGTAACTGACCAACACCTAAGAGATTTTGATCAATTTTAGGTACAAATAAAACATCTGGAATAAATTTTGTACCTTCATAGCTTGGTATAGCTACGGTGCCTTTTCCGTTGACTTCCAAGTGTTCACCATTGTCAATCCTCACTCTCGACTTCAGTGTCTCTTAATTCCTCAAAAAATTCATTGTCATATGTCATGATTTGTGCACCCACTGTCAATTAACCAACTCTCGCTTGATTCTTTGTCTAAGAAACAAGTGACCACAAACAATTGATCTTCTTCTTCTTGATCAATTATCGGTGGATCTACTTCTTTCACCTGACCTTTGACTTTGCAAATCACCGCTTCATGTCCAAGTTGATTGCATTTTGAGCATTTGGTGTCACGTCTTCTCCAACACTTGTATGGTGGATGACCTTTCTTCTCACAATGACGGCAAGGTGGATAGAATTTTTTGGAACCTTCTCCTTTTGTCTTCTGATAATTTGTAGATGAATCTCCATTCGTCGATTGGTTTTTGAAAATTTTCTTGTTTTTATACCTGCTGTTGTCTTGATGCTTAACAGGTAAGACATCTTCAATCACCCCTTCTTGCCTTATAGACCTCCTTTGCTCTTGTGCTTGTAAAGCGTTCAAAAGCTCTCTAAGAGAAATCTTTGACAAGTCTTTGATGTTCTCCAGAGTAGTAATAGTGGCTTCAAACTTCTCTGGAATAGAGACTAGCAGCTTTTCAACGATCCTGAAATCATTTAACATAGAACCAAGCAATCTCACCTTGTTGGTAATGCTGAGAAGTCTATCATAATACTCTTTCACTGACTCAGACTCCTTCATCTTCTGCAACCTAAAATCCCTAATCAAATTCAAGACTTTCATTCCCCAAATCCTCTCATCTCCTCCATATTCAGCCTTGAGATAATCCCAGGTTTCCTTTGCTGTTTTGAGAGACATTATTCGCTTGAAGATCATTTGAGATACAGCTGCAAATAGGCAAGCTTTTGCCTTTGATTTTCTTGTCTTCTTTTCCTTCTGTACTTTGATTTATGCTACAAGTAGAATTTGCTGGAAGTGGAGGGACCTCGTAATCCTCTCTCTTTGCTTCCCAAATATCCAAAGCCTTCAGATAAGTCTCTATACAAGCTGCCCACATTTGATCTCCTATATATACCGATAATACAAAAAGATATTTACAAAATCGACCTAAAAATATGCAGAAAATCTGGTAACAGACAAGTAAACAAATCAAAACTAAATCAAACCAAAACTAAATCAACCCCTACTTATAAGGAGATATAATCATATACTAATTGACAGCAATCTAAACAAACACGTGATCTTTAACACACTCCCATGTTGGGTATCAAGGGGTCATTCCATGACACCTCAGTGATTAAGGACATGGTACAGCTACATAGGTTCTAAAAGATCTAATTCTAGTGGACATTTACATCAATCATTTTTTTTTATCATACATAAATACATATCACTAACGTCAACCAACAAAAGGTTAAACTCTTAAAGATAAAGAAGAGTACTTGTTACTACTATTCTAGCACATTGTCCTCCCTCAGTGCCCTACTCTGGTGTGTACACTCAACCAACCTGTGGGAGCACCATGAGATAATACTATTAAAGAAAAGATTCCCTGGCAAGGGTGGGTGCTACACCAGTGGTCTTTTCCTTGGCACGAGTGCCCAAGGATCTCAAAGGAATCTCAAGTCACGGTTCTACTTCGACCTCTCTTCTTAGACACTCGTGCCTACAGTATGGCTATGTCGGCATTAGGAAGCAGCTCTCTAACCTCGCCCTAGGGTGGATGTTGTCCCGTTTTAGGTGTCGAAATTGCGATGTCATCTTCAACCCTTCTTCTACCTTTCCTAGGTTGAGACCTGACATAAGTCCCTATTCTCTTAGGAGACATAATCTATCAAGAAGACAACAAACTTAGATTACTACATATCCTAGCACATTGTTCCATCAAGCAACATAAATAGTAATCATAAGAATCATAAGTCTCATAAGTTACATCCTCTTAAGTCTTATAATAAAATACACATCTTGACAATATATCTAGTAACAATGACGTGTCAAAGAGTTGAGTCACAGAGGTATAAAACACTCTACCTAAAAAAAATGATTTATAGACCTAAAACTCGGCTACTCTAATACCAACCTATCATGACCAAATTTTTTGAATTTTCGAAAAATTAGACTACGACCAAAAGTCCAAAGATAAAAATAAGTAAGTAAATCAAACAATTAAAATGCAAAAAATAAGTTAAAATTTCGTCCCATTTAAAATCATAAAGTACAATCGATAAAATCCAAATCAATAGAAATACAAAACAGGTACTATATTAGTTATTTACAAGAGTGTCATATGTGCGAAAAATCAAAAGAATACAAATGAAAACTCTCAAAGAAAAGAATACAAATTAACACTAATGCCACAGATCGACACCTCTTTGTGACGGTTAAGCTTCCGAGCACATCCCCACCTCACCCTGTACTTGAAAAGAAAAGGGGAAAAGGTTGAATATAAAAATAAGTTTCCACGAGCTTGTCATTGGGACCTAGGAAGTTTGCGCCTAATTCAGGTATCCCCTAACCATTATCTCACACCAAAGTGGCGCCTATCACGAGCTAAATTATTTGTGTAGTCCCTCGTCTCCTCTCGATGGATATTTCCTCCACACATAATGGTAGCTCTTCTATTTTCAACGAACCTGTAACGATGGCTCAAATTTGATTTATTTGACACATATGTTTAGTAAAAAAATCAAACTTAAACACTTTCATTTTCGGGCCATTTTAAGTCATTTTCGGTAGGTGTACCATTGACACTTTTTTTCCCCTTTGAGATGAGGGTCATTAACTCGTTTAGAAAAGTAGTTTTATCATTTTACTATCATACCAAATCCACTAAAGATTGTACTAAGTAAAAAATAAGGAAGAATAAAAATATGGACTATGTCTATAAGACATCACAACCTGAACCCTCTCTAAAATACTCTAATGTTGACACTTAAATCAATTCGTTTAAAAACTAAGTTTCTTTCAATATTTTTCAACGAAACTGTAACTAACATTCAAATTTGCTGAATTTGATACATATGTTTAGTAAAAATAACCAAACTTAAACACTTTTATTTTTGGGCCATTTTCAAGTCATTTGCTGTAGGTGTATCATTGATATTTTTTTTTCTTTTTTGAGACGAGGGTCATTAACTCATTTGGACAAGTTGTTTTCTCATCTTCGTATCGTACCAAATCTCTAAGGTTAAATTAAGGAAGAAAAAAAATATGTACTCATGTGTATATGACCTCACAACCTAAACCCTCTCGAGAAGACCCTAAAGGAGACACTCAAATAATTATGTGAAAAAACTAAGTTACTTTTAATATTTTTCAACAAAACTGTAAGTTACGTTCAAATTTGATGAATTTGACACATATGTTTGGTAAAAAAACTAAACTTAAACACTTCTATTTTCGGGTCACTTTCGACTCATTTTCCTAGGTGTACCATTGACACTTTTTTTCCTATTTGTGACGAGGGTCATTAACTCATTCAAAAAAGTTATTTGCATATATCTTATTTATGATCTGAACCTTCTCATTTCCATTCAAAAAAGTATTCCTTATCCTGAAAGGGTTTTGTGTAGAGTGATACCCGAGTAAAATAGAGTACATAAATAAACCAAGATTATATGCGAATGAAAGTGACCCAGAGTATAGATGACTAAGAAATGCATAAAAAGAATTGCTTACTAACTATATAAACGAAATGCACTGGTGGCTTAATCATAAGAAGTTTCATGGCTTAATCATAAGAAGTTTGAGAATAAGTGTTGTTCTTGGAATAATTTTATGTTGGGAGACCTCTTAAGAATTTTCGTAGCAAACATGTGAGTGAGGAAAAGACATGCTGGAAGGACTCGTGTTGGTCCGTGGAGATATTTTTCACTTTTACAAGCGATGAGCAAATAACTTGCCAATATTGTTATGGGAACATTAGGGCCATTAAGTGACAAATCAAGATTTCGAAGCTTGCACATGGGCCGTTACAAGTAGAAACTTGAAACACAACTAAATTATCATCATCCAAAAAACTATAAAATCCCTAAAGATTCCTCCCACTTTTATTAGACTTAAATATACACCATCTTAAGTCTATAAAGAAACTCCACGACTCTCCATAAAATTATTACATGTGAAAGCAATCAAACATGAAAGAAAAGAAAAAGAAAAAAAAAAGTTTTGTGGGTCCAAAATGAGTGAGGGAGATTTTACTTCATCTCTTTCAAGGGTGTATAAATTCTAACTTCACTTCTTGGAATGAGTATTTTTTAAGTAAAATCCATCGTCAAAAGCGGCCCAAATGCAGTTTGTATCGTAGCATCGCTGAGAAAGCCAATGTGATTTCTCTGGCCAAAATACCTCAAATGAAGCATGTCTGTTCAAACTTTTAAAATTGCACCAAAACAAAGTCGTATGCCAAAAGTTCATTCCGAAGCTCCAGTTAAATTAGGCTCGCTTTTCCAAAACGCGTTCGTTCAAATCATCGTCGTTTGACTTGCAATGAGCATTTAAAACTGAGTTTGTTTGATAATTGTAAATAGTCACTTGCCATTTGCTTTCTTGTAAATGCCAATTTTTCTCTACAGGTTGTTTGTTGGATCTTACAAAACATGTGTTAATAATAATGCTCGATTCTAAAGCAAACAATAAGATAAAACCAAAGCTGGTTAAAGGCTTCATTCTTTTTAGATACTCAAATCTCTTTTGTTGATTTAATCATTTAGATTTTAATTAATATAGAAAAAAAATAAAAATAAAAACCTGTGTTCACACTTATGGTGAACAAGCTATTAAAGTTGTTTAGGCACTTGAATTAAGGTTAATATCCACTCAAAAGGTATGTTTTTAGGATATCCATATTTGTTGCATAGTTATAAATATCAATTCTTTTTCATTTACTAGTTTTGGTGGAGATGGAAAAACAAAGTTGTGTTAAACACAGACTAGACGGTTGCATTTTCTATATTTTCTCCTTAATTACTAAAATATCCTTCCTACTAAAATGAAAGATGTTAAACCCTAAACTTAAGGGATAATTACTTTAAAAATAACAAATCGATCTAACCAAATAAAAACTAGATCTTAAAAATTAAATTGAACATAAAACAAGACAATTAAAAACCATTTAAAATTAAATTTAAATGATTAAACCAAAATTGAAAGTAGTTAAAGGTTTTTCTTTATTATTATGACCCAGTCCACAATCTTCGCCCGAGCCCTCATGCATACGCAGCCCAGAACCCGACGGCCCAACCATTTTCACCCAAGAGTCCACAACTAATCAGGAATTGACTCACGTCCCACGACCCGAACCACCTTGACTTGACTTTGACCCGTGCGCCTGCCCGTGACCGGCAAATTTACCTAATTCATTTACCCAACTTCGACTTGTGCCTCTCTGATTCTAGTGTCGCTCGACTTGGCTTGGCTCTGCTCGACTCTGACAGTTCCAGTGGACTATTTAGCTTGATTTAGCTTGAGTTGCTTAATTTGAGTTCCGTTTCACTATTTTTACCATTTCGGAGTAGTTTGACAACCTTTTGATTAATTTAAGATTTTGTTTAACCAAAAGTGGATTTAAATTGATACCGTAGACGAACTAAATCGTGTATTGTGTTAACCGTAAAACAAAGAACAAGTTAGTGACTCTAGCTTAGGCCAACGAAGTAAGTAGCTTAACTAATGGGTTGATAACATAGTATAGTTTGTGACCCCTACGTATGTCATGTTTTTTAATTTCTTGACCTGTGCTATGTTAAGATTATACTATGATATATGTCATGCAGTGTTATAATCTATTATGTTATTAGCTATATTATGACTGGATTATGCTATGACGCATGAATTTCATTGCCACACCATGTAAACTA